TCTTGCTATCCGTTTGACAAAATTCAAAGAGAAATCTGCAAAACGTTGTCGTTTTCCAGTCTTTATTTTGTACATATTGAAGGCATTGAGCACTGCAATGTCTACAAGGTGAAAAAACAGTTTTATATACCACTTGCGACTCCTACATACACAGTCAACAAACCCTATCATCATGTCACACTTGTCAACTAGTCGCATATTGTTCGTTTAGTCCACAACAGCAGCTGGCTTTACAATAGGTTCTTTGTTGAACGTGCTCAGTCTGTCTGTCTGTGCCATCTCGTTTCTGTGGATGGTTGACAGCAATGTCACGTCCTGTTTGCCATGCCACATCAGTGCCATGATGTCATTAGCATGAAACACTTGCACTTCAACTTCAACACTGCCTCCAGTGAACCTTGGCATATGTTTCCTATTCCTTCTCAGTTCCACATATATCAGTATTGTTCACACGTAGGAAATCAGTGAGCATAGGGCTTGTATACCAGTTGTCTGTGTACAATGTATGGCCCTTGCCAAGGTATGGTTCCATAATCCTGCGAACAACATCACCAGAAATGCCCAACATCTGTCTTGTCATCATCGAGTGTGTTTTTTCGGTGTATACAATTACATCCAACACAACACCACTCTCACAGTCACACATAACAAAAAGTTTTATACCAAAGCAATTACGTTAGCTTGGTATATATTGCTTGAATGACAGGCGTCCCTTGAACAAAATCAAGAACTCATCGACAACAATGTTCTTGAAGGGATAAAAGTATACACTGAATTTCTGCTTCAAATACATAAACACTTCCCGGATTTTGTATAGAAGGTCATTTCTGTTTGGCGTATTTCTGTCTGAGAAGTGCAACATTCGTAGCAACAGAGTGAATCTGTTGCAGGGAAGGAGGTCACGGAAAACTGGAGTACTGATGAAGTGGTCTGTAGACCAGTAATTACGTATATTGTTCTTATAGTTATGTGGCATTAGCATGACAGTGCCAAGGAATAAATACATTTCAGCCACTGTTGTGTCTTTCCATCTGTGCAGCCATGACAATTCTCCAACATCTGCTGTGTTGTTCATGACATATTGGTAATAATTGTTTGTCTGGGTCACTATCAAGTTCATTATAGGCTCGTCAAAGTACAACTGGAAATAGTCTAACTCTGTAGACTCATTCGTTATGGAACATTCTGGCTGGATACCACTTCCACTAGCATCAAAATCACAAGGCTGTGGCACGAATATACTTTGTGTCCAGTTCCACTCACGATCACATGGTGCAGGGTGGACCTTTGGCATGGGGCGAGGGGTAGCAGGAGGAGGGACAGGAGTGGAGGCAGCACATGGTTGGGGGGATGCCGGGTGGTCCTTTGTCTGTCCACCCACTGTGCCATGTGGTCCAGGCACCATGCCACCCACCAGTACTTCCTCCATCCCCGCATACTCCCCTTCATGATCACTTTCACTATCAGTGGCCAGGGTTTTGGATCGTGACCTGCCAGGACCCTTGGGGATTGCATATGGCACACTGCCTGAATGTAAATAACGATGCCTAAAAGTACGCTTCACTGGTGAATAATGAACTTCACTATCACTAGATGAATCCTCGATAGGCATAAAATCAATCTCATCATCACTTACATCACTTTCACTATCACTAAAACACAGGGAAAATGATAGTTTCCTCTTGCAAAGTTGCCTATGGGTAACACTTGCCACTCCAGATGTGCTTGGCCCAGGGTCTTGTGTGGCCACACTGGCCACCCCAGAAGTGCTTGGCCTAGGGTCTTTTGTGGCCACACTGGCTACCCCAGAGGTGCTTGGCCCTAGGACAGGTGTCGCTACCCCAGAGGTGATGGGCTGAGGGTCATCTGGGTTATCGTCGATATTTTCACTAATTCCTTCAATATTACTAGCCCCATTGGTGTCATATCCACTAAACTCACGATCTATATCACTTTCCTCGAATAGTAGAGTGTTAATACGACGAGGTGTGAGTGAATCATGAGGATGTGCCATGATGTTGACCCAAGATGGAGCTGAATGTAACTGGACCTACCATGTGGTACCCAAGCGTCCCAAATTTTTTTCATACCATGCACACTGAGCGCGCACACCCATTCACTCATGTCTAGGTGACTCAGGCCTATCGCGCCAATTTTGAACGAATGAAAAATAAAACATATACGTATATATACATTTGGGGCGCTACGCGTGTGAACGTATATATACGTTTGGGGCGCTACACGCGTGAACGTATATATACGTTTGGACCGTTTAAGGGTTAAACTTCAACAAAGAGAAAATTTTATGCTTATTGTTTAAGTGTATAGTCAGTCTTTAGATATTTTTGTCTAGTTTCAGAACATATTTAAGTTATAAATTATTTTTCTTTTCTTTTAACACGTCGGCTATTTCCCACCAAGGCAGGGTGACCCAGAAAAGAGAGAAACAGTTTTGCCTCATTTAACACTTTCACCTTTCTTTGCAGAGGTGCTCAGATGTCACTCCAAAAAATATTACTATGAGCATATAATTTTTTTAATTTAACTTCTGGAAAATATAGTTGTTTAACATTCACTACTATTTAATTATGACTGTTTATCACTAGCTCTAGCTTGCAGGAATAGGTTTCAAGCATTCACATAATGGAATTAAATGTGTCTTGCTTAATGAAACAAGAATATGTAAGGTAAAGGATTTAGAGATGCTCAGAAGTAATGTTAATGGGTGGTGTTTGAAAGGGAGTCCATCATATGGAAGAGTGTTTGCTGTGGAGAGCTACGTAAATGTTTAAGTAAATGAACACACATGCATCTTGATGTGACATGTACTAAGACAACTTTTCACCAACCAGGGAATTTGTCAAGCCAATATGTGGAGGAGGAAGAATAGTAGTAGTAGTAAGAGGCATAGTAGTAGTAGTAAGAGGCATAGTAGTAAGAGTAGTAGTAGTAGTAAAAGTAGTAGTAGTAAGAGTAGTAGTAGTAAGAGAAGTAGTGGTAGTAAGAGAAGTAGTAGTAAAAGAAGTAGTAGTAATAGTAGTAGTAGTAAGAAAAGTAGTAGTAGTAATTAGTCATAATAATAATAATAGTAATACTGTATTAGTAACAGGAATAGTAGCAGTAGTAGGATAGTAGTAGTCATCATCTCAAGTGATGGTAGTGTCACGTGTTTGAAGTAGGATTTGTGCAAGCACCTGAGAGGTGAAAAATCTGCCTAGTCTGTTAGTGTTGGACACATGTAAGAGATGACTCTCACTTGCACCTCCATGTGTCTGGTTCTGGAATAACTTGACAGACCAATTTTCCGTTACATAAGGTGGTTAGTGGTTTTTCCGATTGCTGGTGTAAATCTGTGCATTCAAACATTTTTTTTTTTATGTTGCAGAATGGTTCTCCATTGTGTACTTTTTCACATCCAATCAGGGGAATGCCTTAACCCTTTGAGGGTTTCGGTCGTACTAGTACGGCTTACGACCCAGGGTTTTTGACGTACTAGTATGCCTAAATTCTAGCGCCCTCAAATCTAGTGGGAGAAAGCTGGTAGGCCTACATAGAAAGAATGGGTCTATGTGGTCAGTGTGCACAGTATAAAAAAATCCTGCAGCACACATTGCATAATGATAAAAAAAAAACTTTGATCGTTTTTTTTGGAATAAAACAGCGACTTTGCACTGTATTTTCATATGGTATTTATTGTTGTATTCTAGTTTTCTTGGTCTCATTTTATAGAATAGAAGACATATTACAGAAATTGAGATGATTTTGATTGGTTTTAAAATGAAAAGTACCTTGAAATTGAGCTCAAAGTAGCAGAAATGTTCGATTTTTACCAAAGTTCAAAAGTAAACAGATCATGCCAAGCGTCCAATACACGTCAATTGGTGAGTCTAATATTCTTTTGCAAGTGCGCCAATATTATTTATACCATTTTTTACACTAATGCCGTAGTCTGCATAACAGTAAATCTTCTATTTTTTGTGAGAATAAAAATTCAAAGTGGAAAGCAAAAGAATGGAAGAGGGGCCTTGAGATGTGACTAATGAACAGAGGAAATGTCATTTTAGTCCAAGGAATGTCTTTCTTGTTTATTCTGGACCCTATTCGGAAATTGGCATCTTTTGAAATTTGTGTGAAATTGGCAAAATTGCTAAATTCTGACCACTGTACTGGATAGTTGAAATTGATAAATAGGTGGTTTCTTGCACTCATTCGATAGAAAAAATGGAGTTCTAGCGAAATATTCATGTTTTTTGTCGACTAGTACAGTGGAATTGACCTAAAATGGGGCTCAAGGTGGGCAAAATCGCCGATGTGTAAACATCGCCGAGACCACTAACTTCGCAAGAGCATAATTCCGTAAGTTTTTCATCAAATTTCAAACTTTTGATGTCATTATGATCGGGAAAAGATTCTCTATCTTTTCATAAGAGATTTTCTTTTTTTTTTTTTAATTTGGCCGACCCTGAGAACGAGTCTCGGAGAGGGCCTGTCAACCTTCAAAGGGTTAAATGCCTGCATGGACTATTTCTGCGTGCAAGGTACATATTAGATTTGAGATTCTTGGAGACCCTTATAGCAGTGGTGACTTTGATGTCTTCTTGACAGTGGTGCACAGATATTTGGGCAACTTGGATAATTAATTTGCCAGATCTGGAGTCACTGCATGGAGAGCTTAATTTGGAAGGCATGTTTCTTTCAGTTATTAATGAAGATAAGGAAATGGAGCCCCTTATGGGTGAAATGTTGTCTTAATAAATGTCTCATTAAGTTCCATGTATTCATTTAACTATTATCAGTATCACCACCAATAATTACATACATAAATGTTAATGAATGCATTGGGTTTTCAGAGATGGGAGATACTTCAAGCAGTTTTGCTACTGTACAAAAATAATTACCAGTTCATGTTAAGCATGTGTTCAGTATATAATATGTTGTATTAGATTAATAGCACACACTAAAGACAATCATTCTATAATATTTTTATTTACATTTTGCAGATACAACATCTGTAACACCAGCTGATCCTATCGGCAATGAACCAAAAATTGAAAACGGGAAGTTGTATTTTGACAAAAAATGGTTGGTATTAAAATATATTTACTGTTAAAAAAGTTCTGTGGTGCCTGTGTGCTCTTAATATTATTAAAGGGTAGATATAGTCCTTCCACAAGTTTCTTTGGAGGGGATCTGTGGTCTTCTGCTTACATATTAAATGATTTTTTTTTCTAGATTCTTACATTCAAAGTAGCAGGATTTTGTTTATGCAATATTATGAAGAATTATTTTTATTTTTTTCTTGAGTGGCTGTTCTTTCAAGAAATTCACAGTGCCATAAATGATACAATAGCACCAAAGAAGAAATACTAAAATTTACATTAAGGACTGACAGTATGATCATCAGAATCATAAGGTCTAGTTAAAGTGATGTGCTCTCAACTGAGACCTGAAAAATTGAAGATTCCTGATTCTAACAGACAATGGCAATCCATTGAACAATCTAGGTGCTACATTAAAAAAAAGGTTCTTTCTACAACTAACTTCTTCCCAACACTTTCATTTGTGGGGAAGATCATTGAAACACAGGATCTAATGCACACTATACCTTTGATATACCTTTATACCTACACTGCCTTATTAGAACCCATGATATACCCCAGAACCCCCTCCTTGCCAACTAAGAAAAGACAGACTGTGATAAATCACTAGCTGGAACAAACATGGAGAACTCTGCAGCCACTTGAGTTAAATCAAGGTCCAAATGATTATGCTCTATTTTCTAATAAGATTCAGAAGTAGGTAGAGCAGGCCATTCAGATTGTAAAACAGGAGATCCTGATTGCCACAACAAATTCTGTTTTTTCCCCACTTCTACTATGCTATTTGAGCCCTTTGGGTTTTGTGGTTTAAGTGATTATATTATTATTTCCTGCTTCATGATCAGAGGGTAAATGAAAATGAAAATGTTTATTTCCTTACAAAGCTTACAATGTGTGGTTTACATACTATAAAATAGTAATTACAAAGAAGGCCACTAGCATGCCTAGGCATTTTGGGCAGACTAATCGTAATTCTTACTCTATATTGAAACAGGCAATGGAGCAGTATATTTTAATATACCTTATTGCATACTGATATAAAAGTTAGGTAACTAAATGATTAATTAGATTTATAATAGTGAGGTAGTACAAAACATACAAAAATATTACAATTAGTAAATTTAGTAATGGGAATGGTTTTTTCTTGGCATGATACACTGTTTCTATTAAAGCTCCTATTTTGGGAGAGTATCTTAGGCAAATTTAGGACTAACTTAAGATTTATTAGGCAATAGCTATATTAGGAATTTTTTGTTTACAGTCATTTAGGTGTTTTTTTTTTTTTTTTAACAAGTTGGCTTTCTCCCACCTAGGCAGGGTGACCCAAAAAGAAAGAAAATTCCCAAAACAAAAATACTTTCATCATCATTCAACACTTTCACCTCACTCACACATAATCACTGTTTTTGCAGAGGTGCCCAGATGCAACAGTTTAGAAACATATAAAAAGACACAATATAAAAAGTGACCTGAAATAATTACAATATCAGGGCCCCAATTATATATATAGATACCATCCTGTTACACATCCCACCAAACTGCCAGTATCCCAAACCCCTTCTTTAAAATACAGGCATTGTACTTCCCATTTCCAGAACTCTTCCTGAATCCTGTCACTAAATATTACTCTACTCACACTCTAACAGCTCATCAGGTCCCAAAAACCATTCGTCTCCAATCACTCCTATCTGGAAACATAAACACATATGCAGTTTAATGTGATCCTTTATTGACAACGTTTCGCCCACACAGTGGACTTTTTCAAGTCACACACAGATCTACCTGGGGTGGGCTTGAAAAAGCCCACTGTGTGGGCGAAACGTTGTCAATAAAGGATCACATTAAACTGCATATGTGTTTATGTTTCCATTGTGTCGGTATTTTATACCATTTATTTTCACTCCTATCTAATACACTCATGCATGCTTGCTGGAAGTCTAAGCACCTCACCCACAAAACCTCCTGGATGTATTCATGATACAAAAAAGAGAATAAGTGGTTGTCACATACAGTGGACCCTCAGTTAACGATGTTATCGGATAGCGACATAATCAGATACCGATGCATTTTTGCGTCAAAATGTTGGCTCAGCTAACGATGGAAAACTAAGTTAAGGACATTTGTCCCGAACGTGTCTGCACGGCCTGAGCTCATATAAAGCCAGTGTGCCATTGTTTACAAGCCAGGGAGGACGATTCCACGCGTACATGCAATATATTTTGTATTATTCCATTGTTTTTAGTGCTTGTAACTGCTAAATAAGCTACTATGGGCCCAAAGAAAGCTTCTAGTGCCAGCTCTGTGATAAAGAAGGAAAGAAACACAGTAAAATTCAAGAAAAAAACTTGTACCAAAGTGGAGGAGGAAGAGAGAGGGGAGAATGTGCCTTCTGTAGTGATTCAGTGATTCTACAATATGTATGATACTAAAGCAGCAGGTATCAATAAAGGCTATAGTGCCAGTGTAGCAAGTAAGTTAAGCGAGCAAGCGATAGAAAAGCGACACGAAAGTAACTCTCCAGTGTTGTTGGATGTGTATCGGGCCAATGAACATATGCCAGCCTGCTACGTATCTTCCACCACCCTAAACCTCTGCCAGCATCTCCTCCATCAAACTAACTAATTAAGCTAACATCTCCTCCAAGGTAAGTGTAAATATAAAAGTGTAAGTATAAAAGTAAATATAAGTGTAAATATTAAAGGACCTCAATGGAAATAAGTCACTCTGACTTGTTTTGGGTTATCCTAGGTACTTTACACATATGCTGCTATGTATGATAATCTATGTACGTAACTGTATTTGTGTATACCTGAATAAACTTACTTATTTATAAATTAAAATGTAAATTCATTCTTTCTTTCAACAAATTGGCCCTATCCCACCGAAGTAGGGTGGCCCAAAAAGAAAAACAAAAATTTCTCTTTTCAACTTTAGTATAATGTATACAGGATAAGGAGTTACTAGCCCCTTGCTCAAAATGTAAATATTTCTTATTTATAAATTAAAATGTAAATACATGTATTTCTTATTTATAAATTACGTACATATATTGTTTGTGGATAGTGGTGGCGGCAGAAGCCTCCTCCACCACTAATATGTACGACTTCTCTCAGTGGTCATTATAAACCCAATGACAACACTTCCACCACTTATCCTCACATACATTATGACATATTTTATTCATTCTACAGTATATATTATGTTTCTATGTTATTAATATTGTTTATTATGTCATATTAGATGAATTGTGATAGATAAATAAGCAGTAGAGATATTAGCGTCATATTGAAGCATAATAAACTCGCCTTCCTCTCGCCTCCTACATGCCTGCTACACTCCCTGTATGCCTGCTACACTCCCAGCATGCCTGCTATACTCCCTGCATGCCTGCTACACTCCCTGCATATCTGCTACACTCCCTGCTACATTCCCTGCATGCCTGCTACATTCTCTGCATGCCTGCTACACTCCCTGCATACCTGCTACACTCCCTGCATACCTGCTACACTCCGTGCATATCTGCTACACTCCATCAAACTAACTACATAATTAAACTAACATCTCCTCCAAGGTAGGTGCAAATATTTCTTATGTATAAATTAAAATGCAAATATTTCTTATTTATAAATTAAAATGTATACTATATTTCTTATTTATAAATTACTGGTCAGGGAGGTATACCATCTTTTAGGAGTGAAGAAGAGCAGAATGTAAGTGTGGGGGAGGTACGCGAGGCATTACGTAGAATGAAAGGGGGTAAAGCAGCTGGAACTGATGGGATCATGACAGAAATGTTAAAAGCAGGGGGGGATATAGTGTTGGAGTGGTTGGTACTTTTGTTTAATAAATGTATGAAAGAGGGGAAGGTACCTAGGGATTGGCAGAGAGCATGTATAGTCCCTTTATATAAAGGGAAAGGGGACAAAAGAGATTGTAAAAATTATAGAGGAATAAGTTTATTGAGTATACCAGGAAAAGTGTACGGTAGGGTTATAATTGAAAGGATTAGAGGCAAGACAGAATGTAGGATTGCGGATGAGCAAGGAGGTTTCAGAGTGGGTAGGGGATGTGTAGATCAAGTGTTTACATTGAAGCATATATGTGAACTGTATTTAGATAAAGGTAGGGAAGTTTTTATTGCATTTATGGATTTAGAAAAGGCATATGATAGAGTGGATAGGGGAGCAATGTGGCAGATGTTGCAAGTACATGTATATGGAATAGGTGGTAAGTTATTAAATGCTGTAAAGAGTTTTTATGAGGATAGTGAGGCTCAGGTTAGGGTGTGTAGAAGAGAGAGAGACTACTTCCCAGTAAAAGTAAGTCTTAGACAGGGATGTGTAATGTCACCATGGTTGTTTAATATATTTATAGACGGGGTTGTAAAAGATGTAAATGCTAGGGTGTTCGGGAGAGGGGTGGGATTAAATTATGGGGAATCAAATTCAAAATGGGAATTAACACAGTTACTTTTTGCTGATGATACTGTGCTTATGGGAGATTCTAAAGAAAAATTGCAAAGGTTAGTGGATGAGTTTGGGAATGTGTGTAAAGGTAGAAAGTTGAAAGTGAACATAGAAAAGAGTAAGGTGATGAGGGTATCAAATGATTTAGATAAAGAAAAAGAAAAATTGGATATCAAATTGGGGAGGAGGTGTATGGAAGAAGTGAATGTTTTCAGATACTTGGGAGTTGACGTGTCGGCGGATGGATTTATGAAGGATGAGGTTAATCATAGAATTGATGAGGGAAAAAAGGTGAGTGGTGCATTGAGGTATATGTGGAGTCAAAAAACGTTATCTATGGAGGCAAAGAAGGGAATGTATGAAAGTATAGTAGTACCAACACTCTTATATGGGTGTGAAGCTTGGGTGGTAAATGCAGCAGCGAGGAGACGGTTGGAGGCAGTGGAGATGTCCTGTCTAAGGGCAATGTGTGGTGTAAATATTATGCAGAAAATTCGGAGTGTGGAAATTAGGAAAA